AAAGGTAAGAGGAGCCAACTTGGCCTAGGTATCAGCGAGCTATGTTGTGTTGCTATATTGTGAATAGGAACCAGAGTGTTGGAGAGACCACCCTCCAGGCCCCATTAGACTCCATTGTAGTCTCTAATGGGGCCTGGAGGAGATTCTTTCTAACACACTCTCTAAAGGACACTGAGATAGCCTCTGCTAGAAATCCCCTCCATGGCCCATTAGCCCTCAATTGTAGTCTCTACTGGGGCCTGGAGGCGACTGTTTCCAGCAGGGGATATCTAATGGACGCTGAGATGGCCTCTGTTAGAAAGACCCCCTTCCAAGCCTATTAGACTCCATTGTAGTCTCTAATGGGGCCTTGGAGGGGATTCTTTCTAACACACTCTCTAAAGGACACTGAGATAGCCTCCGCTAGAAAGACCCCCCTCCATGGCCCATTAGCCCTCAATTGTAGTCTCTGCTGGGGCCTCGAAGGGCTTATTGCCCTTTTGTTCCTTGTGTCTAAAGATTGTGTAGGGTGTGGCTGGAGGCGGTGCATGGAGGCGGGACAAGGGTGGCGCTTGCTGCAGAGTATGGGTGGGGCCTGTAAGGGGGCCCTTGATTTATTTTGCCCGGGGGCCCTGAGGGTTCTCAGTCCGCCCCTGGGTGTACCTACCATATTTGGGATACATCCAAGAATTGGGGAAAAGTATGCACATTATAATTATGTTAACTGTTAAGCTAAGGGGAGGAGATGTGTGGGAGGTAATGTCTATGTGATTGGTTACTGTAATGATTATGGTGGGTGCCTCCCTTGCATGGGAGAATCCCATAAAAGCAGGAATTGTGTCATTAAACTTCAGTTCTACTCCTGATCCTGTGTGTCGTCCAGTTATTGGGAAAGGTGGTGGGATATTATTGGATTGCCTTGCTAATTGCTTGCTTGTTACCCTATTAGATTTAATACTTGTTCCTGAATTATTCTAATACACCAGTGGAGTTAAGCTGTGGGAAATCAGCTCTCCGCTACACTGCTTCTTTCCTTTCGGGTCCCATTATCCTTTGACCTTCAGAGATATGGAATCCTAAATACTTGACAGTTGACTGGCACAATTGCGCTTTCTTCCTAGATACTTTGTGTCCTGCCTTCCAGAGAATTTGAAGTAGATCATAAGTTGCTTGTTGGCATATCTCTTTAGTAATTGCCGCTATCAACAAATCCACATACTGAAGTAATACACATTCTCCTAGGATGGACTTGAAATCTTGCAAGTCCTGGCTTAGTGCAGATCCAAATAGGGTGGGTGAATTCTTGAATCCTTGAGGTAGTCTAATCCAAGTCATCTGACGCTTTGAACCCATAACAGCATCTTCCCATTGGAAGGCAAAGATACACTGACTCTCAGCAGCAATTCGAAGACAAAAGAAAGCATCCTTGAGGTCTAAGACTGTAAAGTAAGTTGCCCCACCTGGTATCAAGGCAAGCAGATTATAAGGGTTGGGTACAACTGGGTGTATATTAACTACCGCATCATTAACTGCTCTTAAATCTTGTACATGACAATACTCATCTGATCCTGGCTTCTGAACAGGTAACAATGGAGTATTCCAGGGGGAAGTACAGAATTTTAGGATACCATACCTTACGAACTTATCCAAGTAGGTCTATATGTTTCTCTTTGGTTATAGGCCCCAAGCTTCAACTCAATATGTATAGGTGGAATATTACTGGAAAGCCCTGGTGGATTATTTTCTGCCCATACTCCTGGAATGTCAAATAAGGATTCATCAGTCTTAGGGTTTACACTTGTCATTATTGTGTAGAAGCGCCATTCTTCTTCCCTTGGCACCGATATCGCCATTATGCCCGATGATCTATTAAACTTCAGGGATGTCGATCCATTGGGTAAAAAGGTTATTTAGGCTTGAAGCTTTGATAATAAATCTCATCCTAGAAGTTGGATTGGACACTCAGGCATATATAGGAATTTGTGCTTCACCAAATGGCCTCCCAGAATGCAAGTGCGACTCTTAAGAACCGGTTCAGCAGCGCTCTTCCCAGTTGCTCCTATTACTGGTATGGTTTTTCCTGAAGGAGGAGCAACTAATTTGGTCACCACGGAATGTTCAGCCCCAGTATCAATCATAAAAGGACTTCTCTTTCCCCCTATTGCTACATCAACCATAGGCTCCGCTCGGCCAAAGGGGATGGAGCCCAGTCGGTATCAATAGTCCTCCATAACAGTGTCAGCCAGACCCACAAAATCTCTGTCCTCTCTTTCTCTAGGTCTCTGCGTGGGTGGATAATATCTGTCCCCTTGAACACTTCCTCTATTATTCCCACTATTTCCTCCAAAACTTCCTCTTCCTCTATAGTTACCGCCATAACCTCCCCGCTGTAACAAGCGCTTACTTTTCCCCGCATGCGCGCCGACGTCAGAGTAAAAAGGGCGCCAAAATTCAAACGTGGCCACGCTCCCGGACTTTTTGGGGGCGTGGCTACGAAATTAAAGCCAAAGAACCCACACTATAAAAGGGCTATCATGACACTTGTCAGATGCCCTAGTGTGGTTCTTGTTTAAGTCCCCTGGTGCTATCCTTTCTATTTGTCCTTCCTGGTATTTGACCCTTGGCTATCTCTCTGACTATTCTGTGTTCTGGTTTCCCGTATCTTGGCTTGGATAATCGTGTGCCCGTCTTCCGTATTCCCTTGACCTCTGGCTATTTCTTTGACTATTCTCAGACGCTAGTCCGGCCATTCTAAGGTCCGGTAACCGTCTTTCTGTGGGTTTTCACTGTTGTGACTTTGGTCACTGTCGTGACATTACACTAGGGCCATGGACCCTGCAGGTGTTAACCCTCTCAGGCCGGCACCTGATGACCGGTTTGAGGAACTGGACCATCGCATGGACCAGTTCGCTATTGCGGTACAAACCTTGCTTGCTCGTACTGCCCATCTCCAACCGGAGGAGCAAACCCCAGTACTCAGACCTCAGGAACAACCCATGGAAATGGTTACTATGGGTACTCCTAATCATGCTACCTCCCCTCTCCGTTACGGGGGTGATCCTAAAGGTTGCCGAGGTTTTTTGAATCAAGTTAGTATTTATTTTGAGCTTCATCCGAGAGCATACCCTACAGATAGGGCAAAGATAGGTTACATCATCACTTTATTGGTTGATAGGGCATTGACTTGGGCAAATCCTCTGTGGGAGAACAATAACCCGGTAGTGTTTAACTATGTAGAATTTATCGCAGCTTTTAGGAGGGCTTTTGATCCTCCAGGGAGGAGAACTAATGCTGCCAAGACCTTGCTACATATGAGACAGGGTTCTCGTTCTCTTGTTGATTACGCTCTAGAATTCCGTACCCATGCGGCCGAAGTTAGATGGAATGAACAAGCGTTTATTGACGTATTCATGAACGGGCTTTCAGATAAACTCCTAGATGAAGTTGCCACTAGAGACCTACCCAATGTTCTAGAGGAATTGATCACATACCTTTCCCACATTGATGAGCGTCTTAGACACAGGCTGAATACTAGAGACAGACCTCGACGGGTGCCAGAACGCTTAGCATTAACCTATCCTTCATCCGAGACAACAGTCGCTCCTCCAGAACCAATGCAACTGGGAGTCACGCGTTTGTCTGAGGATGAAAGACAATACCGCCGTAGGGAGGGACTATGCCTATATTGTGGCCGAAAGGGACATTCTCGTTCAACCTGTCCTAACCGGCCGGAAAACTCCCGCACCTAAGCCCTCATGGAGGACAGGCCTTGGGTGTAATGTGTATGTCCTCCTTTAATGATAAAAAAGATCACAGGCTTCTTCTACCTATTGTTATTGAGTGGGAAAAGAAAAAAGTGCCAGCCATTGCCTTAATAGACTCTGGGGCGGCCGAAAATTTTATTGATCATAGATTCGGTCAGGAACATGCTTTCCCATTTCAAAACAGATCAACACCCTTGGCCGTTGAGGCCATAGATGGTAGACCATTATCTATCCCGTTTATCACACAAGAAACTCTTCCAGTCGTATTGTCCGTAGGTTCCCTGCATAAGGAGGTTATTATCCTGCAACAAATCACTTCTCCCATCTTCCCGGTTATTCTTGGCTTTCCTTGGCTCTCTAAACATAACCCTTCTATAGATTGGGAGAAAAAAGAAATTGTAAAATGGAGTGAGACTTGTTACAGAAAATGTATTAACCCTATTAAAAACGTAGGTCTACTTAATGTACCTACTATGGAACCTTTAACCACTCTGATACCCAGACAATAGTGGGATTTAAAAGCAGTTTTTGAACCAAGAGAGGCAGAAAAATTACCTCCACACCGGTCCTATGACTGTCCCATTGACTTATTACCCGGCACTATGCCCCCTAGAGGCACAGTTTATCCCCTCTCGGTAGCTGAGAATAAGGTACTAGAGGAATATATCACTGAAAACTTAAGAAAGGAGTTTATCACTAAATCTTCCTCCCCTGCTGGCGCTGGGGTTTTTTTTTGTTTCCAAGAAGGAAGGGGACTTAAGGCCCTGTATTGATTATCGGGGTTTAAACAAAATAACTATACGTAACGCCTATCCTATTCCTTTAATCACAGAACTTTTCGATAGATTAAAAGGGGCGACTATTTTCACGAAATTGGATCTGAGGGGGGCGTACAATCTAGTCAGGATTAAAAAAGGGTACGAATGGAAGACTGCTTTTAATACTTGCTATGGTCACTTCAAGTATAGGGTCATGCCATTTGGGTTACGCAATGCCCCAGCAGTCTTTCAAGACTTCATTAATGATGTCTTAAGGGAATATTTACATATGTTTGTTATTGTCTACTTAGACGACATTCTAATCTACTCCAAGAATATTAAAGACCACCATA